TAGTAGTAGTACTACTACTAGTAGGAATAGTGATAGTAATAGTAATAGTAATAGTGATAGTAATAGTAATAGTAATAGTATCAGTAAGAGTAGTAGTAACCGAACCTCTCGGCCAAAGTGCCTTGGACTGGACTCGCCTACGGGCGGCGACTTGCAACCCCCTGGAATAGTAATAGCAATAGTAATAGTAATAGTACAACAGCTCTCACCATAACTGTAAGTCAAAAACTCTGGCAGAGTTCCAGTGTAAAACGAGTACTTGCTCTACTTGATGAAGCCTCTCGCGCTTTTCGCCAGACCCTCGCAGATGCATTGCCTGGAGCAGCCCGGGGCACAGAACTCCAGGGGAGAAAGTCATGAACAAGATTCAGAGTGTAGGGTGACGGACCCCAACAATCCATTCACTCTGATTCACTGATAGGACTCCACCCGCGTCGGACGTGGGGTCTGGTCTTTGTGGGGAAGACACGTCCAAAGGTTTTCCCATCAAGTTTCCGTTCGAGAAGCCGCGCATGTGGCTTTTCGCATGTTTTTCGCGATTCAAAGCAGCTCCACAGGTAGATCAGCTGTTTTTCACATTGTGTCGCAGCTTTCAGCAAGGCCACTCGCTTGCGGCCCTTTCAGGCGCTGATGACAGTTCCGGGGGGGGGGGGAATCCAGTGTCCTGATGAAGTAGCTTCCATTTTCTTGTCCATAGTCCCTATTTATTCCTATTTGTTCCTATTAAACCTTGATGTAACCCCGTATATAACCCCGGAAAAACCCTATATACCCCTCATACCCCTATATTATACCCTGATTGCAAAGAACACGGTCTGAGTCACAGAAGCGCGAGACAGGGACCCAGTCGTACTGGTGAGCACCGTGGTCCTAATACCTATATGAGCTATAGTCTAAACTTCTTAAAGGGGGGTCATGTAGGGGATTCTATACGGGACTACTATGGGCTTATCAAGGGGGATAGTAGGAGCTTAGACTATCGCTCATAGGAACAAAGTGTGTTTGGAGGAAAGATCCTCCCGCAACATGACGAGCCGAACAGTGTTGGCTTTAGGGATGTTCCGAATTTGCACGGACTCTTTCTGCAAAAAGCATCACATGCTTTGGGATGCATGTGGGCGAGATTTGGCCCAATTCTTTCTTGCAGGCTCCGCTGTTTCCTGGCAGGCCCTCTTCATCGGCAGGCCGGCCCCCAGCATAGCAAACAAAGCAATAGTCATTAGCTTGTTTTTCGTGATTCGATCCTACCATGCCCTACCACTTACCTCTCCGTTTCTGCGGCTGCATGGATAGTTAACCTCTTCTGTAACAGTACTGGCAGCGACAAAGTAGTTGTGACACCGTGTGGTGACGACCCGGAATGGCACCGTTCTTCTGCTGTGATGCTCCGGGTGTATTGTGCCATCCATGGGAAGCGTTCTTGCATGCTGCGCTGATGGACCAGTTCTCACTTAGATGCTGTGCTTGAAAGCTTAGCCAGGATTTGTGTAATGACGATGGGTGGCACTAGCTGATCCAGTCCCTTCGCTGATCTGCATTGGATTGCTGCAGTTTGCAGACTTGCTCGGCAGCCCGAAGCTTTATGATACTCAGAGCGGTGACGCACGTCAGCGGGAGTCACACGCGATAGAAGGTGCCAAAGATGAAATTACAAACTGAAAAGACCCTGATGTGGTGCAGAATTGCAAAGTATGAAGACGTGCTATAGCTGTTGGAAATCATATCGATGGACATTCGGGATGTTCACAGCACTTGGCATTAACTACAACACACTATGGTGGCCGTGGCTGCAAATGGCTTCACCGCCGACATTGCTGACACGCATCAGCTTGCGAGTTTCCTGGAGAGCCTGCAGGCTGTTCTCGAGCAGGGGAAGGCAATGCAGAGTCATGCTGCGAAATTGAGGGGAATTCCGTGCGTATTCGTAGGAGAGTCGTTTCCAAAACATCATGAAGGGGTCCTGCCTAAGGCTGAAGCTGTCAATGCTGGCACGCAAGCATAGGAGTCCCTGGATTCCGAAGACCTGGAATTTCCTGCCTATGCAATCCCAAGCTTGGATGGCCAATTGCGTCCTTTCCAGCAGCAGACCCGTCTTGAATTCCCGAGCATCAAAGGCCTATGTTTTGTCAGGATGTCGGGGAATCGCTGTGTGACGGGGGTTGTTCGTTGCAGGAAAAAGCTTCAGTGTTGGCCACGGTGTAGCTTTGGCAGACGTGGCAGATCCCGCTACGGAGCCAGTCCACAGATCCTTCTTCATCCATTGTAGAGCTGGATCTTATTTCGTTCTGACATAAATGCATTTTCCCAGAAAACTTAATAAACACAAGCAGCTTCCTGCCAAGCAGTGCCCAGCAGCCACCTGGGCTTGTGGAAGGACATCCACGCGCGCCTGAGCGCCCGTTTGGAGTCTGCGCGCCTTGAACTCCAAAGTTTCATGCCGTGGCTTTCGAATGAGCTATAGTCTATACTCCCTAAAGGGGGGTTATATAGGGGATTTTATATGGGACTACTATAGGGGTTATTAAGGGGGATACTAGGAGTTTAGACTGTGGCTCTCGAATGCTTTCAACAAGCTGGGGTCCGTAGGACCCCTGGAGGATCATGGGGGGCTTAATGTGATTTGGGCTTAGCATTAGAGCAACTCTTGTTTATGATTTCAGGCAATGGGGGCATTGCTAGGACAAAAGGAAGACAGTGAGTGCAAGAGGATATTCGAATCCCGAATAATGTGCGATACGAACTTTCTGTCATGGCACCTGGCCAGAGCGTGTTGAGTGGATCCTCTGAGCTTGCTAGCAAAAGAAGCGGGGGCAGGACAATTGTCACAAAGAAATAGTCGCAGTGCTGTTATAGTGCTGATAGGAGAGGTAAAGTACTGATAGTAATGTGGGTGCAACCAGCCGCAGTACCAACAGAGGTGGTGCTTGTTGAAGTGGCAGTAGCAGTGGCGGTGGTTTTGGCGGCAGCGCTGTCGACTTGATTCCGTGCTACGGCTTGCTGGGTTGTTTTCCTCGTCAACTTCTCAGCTCTCTTGAAAGCACCAGCTTATGCATCTGAGCTGAACCAGTGGCGCCCAGCTAGATTTCTCACAAGTATGGTTGATGTGCGTCTGTGGGATTCACATATGAGCTATTGCCCGGGAAATCTTGAATCGTCAGGCCCATGACAATCGAAATCCACAGTCAGGTCGAAACAAGGCCATGTTGGAACGTCTTAAGCTGAAAGGCCTGAACCGGATTTGAGGATCCAGCTTCAATAGTCGAGCCAGGCGTCTAGTCTAGTTGATATGATGGACAACCTGCATGGCAAGTGGCCAAAAGCCCTGGGCCTTGAGGCTTCAGGCACTGGTCCAGTCAGATTCCTAGCTTTCGAGTTGAAGTCCAGACAAAAGCCTAAGGTTTCCCAAAATATTGGGGTTATATTGAGATAATGGAAAATAAAATGGAAACTACTATAGTATATTGGGGTTATATAGGGATAATGGAAAAGAAAATGGAAACTTCGCCCTAAGAATGCCGTGAGGTGAATGGTCAACGGGCCCCTAAATCAAGGTTTGAAGCGCACCCTAAACTTTGAGAAGCCTAAGATTGCATTTTTTTTTCGGAACCCTTGATGCGCTATTCGTGTGTTGAAGCTGTACTGCTTACATGGAGATGGGGACCCTAACCCAGATCCAAAAACATGACACGCCACAGCATGTGGGTTCCACCTTATCCCTATAAACCACGATGTGATCCCAGTTTCCATTAATTTGATCTTGCTCTTTCTTTTTCATTTGATTCTCCATGATTGAGATATCCTTATCTATATAATCCCTATCTGACTTGTCATTCGTAGTTGCCATTTCGTCTTTCCATCATCTTTGCCATGTGATTCTTCAGTTTTACCATAGCTGTCCTAACCCCTTAATCCTTTCTATCTCTATAAATCCCTATACAATCTCCATATATCCCCCAAATAATCTGTATGTATCCCGAAATCCTAAATCCTGAACCCTAAACCCTAAATCCTAAACCCTAAGCCCTAAACCTTAACCCCTAAACCCTAAACCCCAAAGCAGGAATGGGGCCAAGAGCACCTCTGGCCCACAGCCACAGCACTTCAATCTCGCGGAGGAGCCGGAGTTGCTCGGCCTGCAGCGAAAGGCTGAGGGTTTAGGCTTAAGGGTTCAGGCTAGCTTTAGGATTTTGGGTTTTGGGTTTAGGGTTTAGGGCTTAGGCTTAAGGGTTTAGGCTAGCTTTAGGATTTAGGGTTTTGGGTTTAGGGTTTAGGGTTTGGGGTTTGGGGTTTAGGGTTATTAAGGGTTTAGGGTATAGGCACGAGGGTTTAGGGTCCACTTCGGGATGATGGAGAGGCATATGCGGTTTCCTAAAAATGTGGGGGAAGAGACGGTCAAGCCCAAAAAGCCCGATTCACTTCTTGGAATTTCATCCAATCCGCAAAGGCTGTTGAGTTGCTTGAAGTTCTTCAGGGGTCCTGTGGAGAAAATGAAAAAGGAAATGGAAATTACCATAATGGGTCATATAAAGGGATTACAGGGTATATATAGGGGTTATATGAGATTAATGGAAAAGAAAATGGAAACTACCATAGTATATTGGGCTAATGCTGGGATAATGGAGAAGAAAACGGAAACTACTATTTAGGGGGTTCAGAATTGGGGCCAATTTATGTATGCGGAGGCAACAAAGTTTTCGAGTCATTAAACGACGCCCTTGCTGAGAAGTACGGTACAGCTTTCAGAAAGCCTTCGCTTAGACTGGGTTCAGGTCTGAGCTTCCCTTAAACCCTAAATAAGGGATTACAGTGGTACCGCCCCCAAAGGTAGTCAGTGAATACCATTTCCATTTTCTAACCATGCCCACCCCTCTATGCCCCCGAAGACCCAAAACCATAACAACCTATACCTCANNTCAACCCTAAACCCACCGAAAGACCCCATAGTAAGACACACCTGAAGAACCCAAAACCACAACAACCTCTACCTCAACCCTAAACCCACCAAAAAACCCAACCCAAATACCCATACCATGGAACCAACAGAAGAACCATACACCACCACATACAAAAACACCAACCTAAACTCCATACACCAATACCCCCATAGAAAAAACCCATATTCCACAACCCGTTGAGGGATATGGTGGTAACAATAATGAAGTTATAATCTGTAGCAACTGGTGGGTTGCAACTACATCACACGTGTGTTGCTACTTCAGCATGTTCAAGGCGTCTCTGGGACCTTTCAGTCCACCATTCAACGATCATCTTGTCTTGTGAGACACCAATCAGCATACCATAAACTACTTCTCTCGACCTTGTCTTCCTGCTGGCATTTCTCAATGGTCCCTGGATATCGAGAGCGGCATTTCAGCCCTATATATTCCTTAGTAGCTCCTTAAACCGGGGGGGGGGGGTACCTTTGGTACTATTGTAATCCCTTATCTCAACCCTAAATCCCTAAACCTTTAACAGGTTTGAAGGGAGCAACCTAAGCCCTAAACCCCTATTGGACATCTTATGGCCGAGGCCAGCCAAGCAGTGGGCCAAGGCGCCCCCTCCGCCATTTTGTGAGCCTGCGCAGCAATCATAACAAGCATGGTAACTACTTTTTTGGGTGTGTTTTGGGGGGTTCTCAAGGGCTTTGGGTTCTTATTAGTTGAAAAATATTTAGGAAGGTGTGCATGCCGATGCTGCAGGTCCGGAAGTCTGCCTGCAGACACTACAGCGCTTGTATACAATGACCTGTCCTTATGACGTTCATGGTGTCTCGTTGGCAGTTTTCTTGTTTCATGTTGCTTCATGCTTCAGATTGCATAGATTCTGCAGATATTGCAAGCGCTAGTGCCATTCAAGGACCTTCCGGTGAGTTCCATCGTGGTTGGGTAAGATTCATGCTCTGCCTTTCTACCCCTTGAAGTCTGTGCTCCAGGGGTTCTTGCGCTGTGAGAGCAGTGATGCGAGGATCCGCATGGTAGGCTCCAAGTGAAAACATAAACCCTATATAATCCCTACAGAATATAGTAGTTTCCATGTTATTGTCTTATCCCAATATAACCCCAGGTTTAACCCCAATATGACTATTTAACCCTATTGTTGTTACCAATCCCACATATCCCTGTACTCCTCTCAAAGGCATCCAAGGTTTCCATTCCATTTTCTTTTCCGTCTGCCTCCCCTGGCTTGGCCATCCCCCTTGAAGCCTGCACCGAGGAGCCCTCAGAATCTGCACGGAAGCCTATGATGAAGGCTGCGCCTCCAGGTTCGCCAGGGGAGCTGGGCACAGGATTGCAAGGTAACCTTTGGCATGCGTGGAATTGGGTGGCTTCAGGGATGTGAGCAAGGCAAGGCAATTCAAACGTAGCACGGCTTTCAAGAGCATGCTATCCATTCGTGACTGGCATTGGACTTATGGCAAAAGGCTCATGTCCCATTATGGCTCCTTACTGTTCTTCTGCAATATTATCAATGCTATGGCTTATTTCCTTTCTACGATAATTGCAAGTTTTGATATTAGCACTCTTATGAATTACTATTATTGTTGTTTCTATTATGTTCTTGATGGAGAGGCTTGGCATCCGCTGCTGCAGCGGTGCCACAGGCCATGCTTTTCGCATGCGTTTGCCGCGGATTTTCGCCATCCTCACATACTGATCGGCCGTTCAAGCTCGTTTAGGGCCTAGAGTTTAGGGTTTACAGCAGAGATGCTAAAGCATTGAGTCTTCCCAATAGTCCAAGCTTATGTCTTAGGAGGACCCCCCACCCTGTAATAGTGGGATAATAGAGAGTTCAGAGGACCCTAATACAATCCTTATTATCCCTTATAGTCACTATTACCGGGTGGGGGGTCCACCGAACTTATCTCTCTTAGCTTCATGCAGGTCAAGGCGCGCCCTGCCTCGTCACTTGGTCAAGCACTGTGCCTAACGTGGGAGATGTAACCATAGTAATAGTAACAGGAATAATAGCAATAATAGTAATAATGTTGATAGTGGCAAAAATAGAAATAATGGTAGTATTAGTAATAATAGTAATCATAGTAATCATCGTAATAATGGTAATTGTAATAATAGCACAACAATAATAATGATAGCATTACTGGTACTCATAATAAGAATGATACTAGAATACTCGTACTACTAGTGATGCTGGTAGTATTGATAGACCTCTATTTGAGCTGTAGTCTAAACTCCTTAAAGGGGGGCTATAGAAGGGATTATTTCGGGGAGTATTATCGGGCTTCTTGAGGGGGATGCAAGAGGGTCGCGATCCCAAAGCCCTCAGATGCGACAGGGACGCATGCGAGAAAGGGAGCCTGCTCTGCTTCCAAGAAGATAGATTAAGGCTTAGGATTGGCTGAGGGTTTAGGGTTCAGGGTTTCGGGCTTAGGGTTTAGCCTGCTGCAAAGGGGCTTGGGGTTTAGGGCTTACGGCTTGGGGTTTAGGTTCCTGCTGGTCATGGGGATCCCAACCGCCACTGAAGTCTTGAGCTACTGTCAACGTTAGGGTCACCACGTAATTTAAGTATAGTGCGGAAAATGTTCCCTAAAAAGGCCCATGTCCATTGATTCTATTGGGCAACATTGTATTTTCTAATAAGGAACCCATTAATTCTATGGGGAAACCCATTCATTCTATTGGGAAACCCATTACTTCTATTGGGAAACCCATGAATTCTATGGGGAAATACTGACTGTGGGTTGCCTGAGCACCCGTGAGCCTGCAAGCCTTTGAGAGCGGAGGAAAGCGCCGCCGCCAAAGGCAAAAGCGCCACCCGAGTTCAGGAAATCTGCCACTTTCTGGGCATTACTTAGAGGATATGGGGATTCTATATAGGTGACCATATAGTGGGATTATATGGGATTACACATAAGGGTTGCATATTTGTGTGCAAAGATTTCTGTCAAAACTTCAGGGGCTTTAGTTGGATCTTTTGCATCTCCTCTTTTTCGCCGAGAGCTGAGAAAACGCTGGTTGCGCTACCTAGGTTTTCAGTCCAGTCCGTTGGCGCCTTTGCAGCCAGACGCTCTCTGGGGTTTCTGAGAAGCTGAATTTGATCTACACTTGCAGCGCATCAAATCAGGAACCACCCGAATCTGCTGGTGTATTTTTAAAGGCCTACGCTTCACTTAATTGGGACACACCCTGGTGAAGCATCCATCCAAAACCTAATGGCCCTGATAGGAGTGCCGAAGATGCCGAGCGCCCGGCAGTGGCAAGCCCAGGCCGGCCTCATCTGCGGTTGTTGTTTCCGAACGCCGTTGCATTTGGAGATCGAGAGAATAGTAGACTTTACATTCTTTGGGTGTGGTACTCTAAGTGTTTTTCAACATTCGAGCTATGCCAGGGTATCCGACAGCTTGGTAGCGAGTCAGGGGCAGAGAGTCGCCTTGAGCTTGACTTGTGTTCTGCGATTCGTTGGCAAGAGGTGAAGTACATGATGCCAGCTGTGGCACAACAAATTTGTAGCGATAGCTTCCTACGTACTATGGAAATCAGTTCGAGACACACGTGGGTGGTTGTCAAAATTATGGTCCCTTTTTGGGTCCCTATTATAATACGGCACCTACTATTTAGGGTACCCAAAGAGGGACCATCATTTTGACAACCACCCATGTGACTTGACATGCTTCTACTGGCAGCGAGCGTAGACATCATGAACACCTGGGGTTGTTCTAAAGGTCCTTGTAAAGGAGGGACCATTGGGAATAGACTTCCTTAAAAAGGGGATCCTAACCAAACAGGGAACCTACATTATGGCAATTTTGGGGACAGGTATTTTGAACAACTAGCACCTGTTAACCGCCAGGATGTTTCATGGGGTTTGTTTAGGCAAAGTTCTCCCAAAGCAATCATGTTTTTGAGGCATCAGCTTGGCGCTTTGGTCCCCAACCCGGCTGTGCATTGAAAGCTCCAAAACTCCCCATCTAGTCCATATATTCCCCAGGGAAAGCACTGAAAATCGTGGTATGCGGTAACTTGTCAATAAATTGGAGTCCCTGTGGGGTCCCTTACCGCCCTTTATACAGGGTTCCCATTTCTTTCTGGGCAAGCCGTATGACGCTTCAGTCGAGGCACAGGAGCAGCTAGAAAAGTGGAAGCCTACTGCATCCTGGCATTTCCAGTGCCCCAATATGGGGGGGGTACCCTAAAAGCAGGTTACAGGGGCTATATGGGGTTAAATCGGGATTAGGTAGGGGTTAGGGGCTATGTAGGGATGAAATAGGGGTTGTATAGGGATTGCATACTACGAATGGTGAGCTGTCATAACTTTGGCAAGGCTTGGCCAGATCAGACGGCACTCCTAAACCCTAAACCTTAAACCCTGTATGAAAAACCTAGATGCTAATTTTCCTAAATAGTGGGAACCCAGTATGGACCCACTAAATACTATCGTCTCGCTACAGTGCTTATTATAGGGAGCCCCAAAGAGGTACCCCTAATTCTGGGAAAGCCCCATATACCCCGAAGTAGCCCTATGTAACCTCTATGTCCCCCCTAAACCCTATACCCTAAACCCCTAAACCGGTGCCTCAAACCCTATACAACCCCTGTGGCCCCAAGGGGGATTGTGCCTGTTGCTCAGGCAAAGCTCCCCCACCGCATCTCTGCACAGAGGTGTCGCAACATGGAAGGGGGGGTTTGCAACATTTGGAGTACCTTTAAAGGGGGATATAGGTGTTATGTAGGGATATATAGGGTTTAGGGACCAGGGTTTATAGGGTTTCCCAAAGTAGGAGTACCTTTTGGGGTTCCCCACAACGTGGACTATAGTATTTTAGGGCCTATACTATACTGGGGCCCTAGTTTAGGGAAACTACCAGGTGCCGCAACGCCTTGAGGTTCTATGGCATTCTATGGTCTCCACCACATCAACATCATGCCTAACAGGACCGCTTCAAAAACAGGACCTGACAACGGAACGTGGAGCCGACAGTCAGCCCGTACAACGACCTACACTCCACCAAACAAACATGGAAACCCGTATAGCCCCCTTTTAGAGGGACTGTAGTCTTTATAGGGCCTTTTTTGGGTTTCCGTGTTGATTTCCCAGAGTGTGGGAGTGGCCGCAATCGGATGTTTGGAACGCAATCCGCAATCCCGCAGTCCGACCCTATGTCGACCCTACAGTATATTGGGGTACTACATAGGGTTATATTGGTGGTTATATTGGGATAATGGAAAAGAAAATGGAAATTACTGTTTAGGGTTAGGGTCATATTTGGGTAATATTGGGATGGGATAATAGCTTGGAGTCCAGGACAGAATCTTCGCGTCAAGTTCAGTCTAAAAAGGAGACCCTAAACCGTAAACCCTAAACCCTAAGCGCATGCAACAGCTCTGCAGGATTCAGCTTCAGGAGGCGGGCCGCGATGGAGTTCCTACGAGTAGTATTCTATTTGGGGATACTATGGTACCCAATATAGAGTAAGATTATATCCTCCTTTTGGGGTATACTATTTTATATAAGGAATATACTCTCCCTAAACCCTAATCCCTATGTCCCCCTAACATAACCCTATCATAACCATAATCCTATAAACCCTAAACCCTACACCCTAAACCCTAAACCATCCTATGCGCCGGGGATCAGATTTGCAATTCTCGGAGCTTGGTGCGTGCAGTTGTCCCTTGTGGTGCTGCGTAGCGTAGCCGACCTTAACCTAAACTACTGGGTAGGCCCCTGGGATATTTAATATTTTCCTTAATGGCTTTAATAAGGGACGCTATATACTAATATTTTTCAAAGGGGTTTTAGGGGCCAACCCAGCTAGTAATCTGCAAGGTGGTGCTTCCTTGAGCTTTTCTTGTGCAGGGCCTTCGTCAGCGGAGACTCCTGCCAAGGCATCGCATGGGGTGTTTGCAGAAGTTAGAGCGGAACATCGCAGCATGATATCCAGACGGCAGAAGAATGATCATGCCCATGCAGTTTGGTGAGGCGGGGTGCCGGGCTCACCGTACTCTTAAATGGTACTTCCCCAAAATAGGGGGACCCTGATAGAGACCCCAAAATACTATAGTCCTTATTATGGGGACCCCCAAGAAAGTACCCCTAATTTTGGGAAACCCCCAAAATGGTGGATGGAAGTTCAAGTTGCAGGTTCAAGAGATCCGCATAAAATCAATCGGTTCCGAAACTTCAGAAGGTGTTTAGGGTTTAGAAAAATATCCGTTTACCCCAACCCTGAGCCACCCAAAAAACGCTAAAACCCTAAACCTACTTGGACCATCTCTTCCCCAATAACCCCTGTTATATGCCCCGCAAGTCCTGTTACTCAGGAGATTTACAAAGTCAAGAGAGCCTCCAAGTATTAAAATCCTTTCACGTCCTCCTTGAGCCCTAGACCCTGAACCCTGAACCCTCAACCCTAAACCCTCAACCTTGAACCCTAAACCCTAAACCCTGAACCCTCAACCCTAAACCCTCAACCTTGAACCCTAAACCCTGAATCCTCAACCCTAAACCCCCAACCTTGAACCCTAAACCCTAAACCGCGAGGCCAAGCCGCCCCCGGCCTGTTTCGCTCCCACGGCCAACCCATCCGGGCAGATGACAGCGCCACCCTCGCACATGCAGGCCAACCTCCTGGCCCTGGGGGATAGCTGGGAATGAAGGAATGGCAATGAAAATGGAACCTACTACAATGGGGTTATATAGGCTCTAGGGAATGGAAAAGAAAATGGAAACGACCATAGTGGGTTATATAGGGACTACTATGATGATCCATTCCTTCATTCTTAGCTAACAATATGCCAACCTCAAGGGCGAAGGTTTAAGGGTTTCGGGGTTTAGGGCACTAGGGTTTAGGGGTTTAGCAATTTAGGGGTTTCTGGTTAAGGGGTTTGGGGTTTAGGGTTAAGGGTTTAGAGGTTGAGAGGCATAGGGTATGGGGGTTATGGCGGAGTTGTGCTTACGGATTTACATAGGGATTATGGTTCCGGTGCCCAGTATTTAATTTGTAGTTTTTGGCTCCATGTGCGAACCCTGTGAAGGACTAAGGTTTGCGTTTGCATTCGTGACCATGTGGTTTCACAATGAGGTCCTGCTTCTAGACAGCAACAAAATCAACAGTCAGAACCTGCAAGCTTTGGCGTAGCTTTCTCTTTTCGGACTTGCAGCCCCGCGTCGCCAGCTACTCTAGCAGTATGGGAATCTGTGCGTGCAGGCGGTGCTGGTCATACAAAGGGGGCTTGTGACAGTGCGGGCTGCACATGTGAAGATGTTATCTTACGATGTGCCCGGTGAAGTTCATTTGAGGGCAAGGGCCTCTTTATGTAGTGAAACTGCGAGCCAAAAGGGCCTGGGGATCACAGGTGAAGCCGGAACCATGTTTCATCCTGTCTTAGTCCTGTCACTCCCATGTGCAAAGTGCACACCTGAACCCTGATAGCTGTACCGCTCAGATGGAAAAGCTGCCATGTCGTGGAATGGCAGACAGCCTAGCAGAGCCTAGCGCGTGAACATGGCAAGAGTCCTAGCAAAACTTGGCCCTTCCAAAGTGAAGGAGCAGCGTGCCCCTTCGCCGGACCGCGGTGGAGGCATTCAGAATTACGTACTGTTTTTCCTCAGTTGAGGGCCAGCCGAGCCCCTGAGACCAGGCACCACTGCAGCTTTCTCCAAGGCCCCTCCGCCTCCGTTGGTGGAACCTCAGGCAGGATGTTGCAGCGTCAGGTGTGCACAAATCGAATCCCGGTACTAGAGGGGCCTAAATAGTCACCAACATCATGATCCCCGACTCCAGGTATGATTGTGTTGTAGGATAGATGATTTATACTTATACTTATACTTCAAAAGGACTGTTGGCAAACATCTGAACCTTACGGTAGCTCGATCCGATTGCAAGGGGTTTGCTTTCTTCGGGGGTTCCCATCGCTGGCGTTTGTTGATTTGGTTCAGGCGCCAGCTTCAATGTATGCTCACGCGACTTCACGGATTGTTCACATCTGGGTTGCTGTTAAAGAACTTAAATTAAGTTACTATATTGGGGAAACCCTATTATTTACTATATATACCCATTATGGTAAATCAATTTAAGTTCCTTAACAGCAACCCAGTTGTTTGTTGTTTGGCTTTCCCTGTAACCGGCATCTCATTGGATTTCTGATAAAAAGGACATGTCTCAGAATGACTGCGGTATATTTGTATACATATTTATAATCATCAAGGAGGACCTATGATCTCTAAACAGTCCCCATATATCCCTTTGGCACTTCAGGGTAATCCCTACATGACATCTACCCTGCAAAGCTGTATGGCCATGCAAGCAGCCAAAGATACCTATACCTGTAGCTGTAGTGCCTTCAAAGGGCCCCATATTCTTTCTTCTACATCTTCCCTCTGCCTAGCAGGGAGTTAAGGAACGGAAAATCTCCATAACAGAGTAGTTTCCATTGAGCTTTCCATTCTATAAGTACCTCCTCACCAGAGGTAAGGGGTTTAGGGTTTAGGGTTTAGGGTTATGAAATAAGTGCCCATCTCGCTTTCCATTTGCTTCTCCATTGTTGGGGGTAGTATCCCTAAACCCTAAATGATAGTTTCCCTCTTCTTTTCCAGTGCCCCTATGTAACCTCCGCATTACCCTATATATCCAGTATACAGTCGGATATAACCTTACATAAGCCCCGCATAGCCCTATCTACACCTGTATAATCCTATCTAACCCCTATATAACCCTGTAAAACCCCTACACATCCCTAAGCTCTAAAGCCTAAACCTTGAAACCCTGAACTCTAAACTCTGAAAACAAAATCCTAAGCCCTAAACCCTAAACCCTGAACCCTAAACCCCAAATCCTACACCCCAAACCCTAAACCCTAAGCCCTAAGCCCTAAACCCTAAACCCTAAGCCCTAAACCTGTTGTGTCAGGCCGAAAGATCGCCAGAAGGTGGTCAGGTCTCAGCCAAGGCTCCGCCACCGGGCCTTCTGGACCTTTGCTTGAATTCTACCCAACCTAAGGTTGGGATTTAGGGTTTAGGGTTTAGGTTGTTGGGGTTTAGGGTTTAGGGTTTAGGTTGTTGGGGTTTAGGGTTTAGGGTTGAGGGCCCCCAGCAGTTCGGAGAGAGTCCTGGGTTGAAAAAGGGTTGAGGGTCTACGCAACGTATTTACAAATCTAGAATTTTGGAGATTATAATGAAACGGGAGAACACGGAGTAATGGTGAGTTTATATGGGCTTGAGGGTTTAGGGTTAAGGTCATGTAGGGGTTATGTAGGTTCATGGAGGCGATATATGCGGTTATACAGGGGGTGTGTAGGGGAAAATGGAAGCTACAATTTAGGCTTTAGGTTTAGGGATACCTCCTGAGTCAGCAGTTTCTGCCGTACAACGTGCACAGATGGAACAGGTTTCAGGATATTACCACCCAATAGTGGAGAACGAAATGGAAAAGAACATGGAACATCAAATGGAAACTGCGATAGTATGTAGGGTTTAGGATTTCAGGTTTAGGCTTTGGGCGGAGGCTTAGGCTTTTGCATTCAGGGTTTTGAAAATCTTGAAAAACTTTTGCTGGCGTTCAGCAACGGCGCAATGCCAGAAGAGCCCAGCTGCCCTTCGTGCCAGCATATAGCTGGTCGTGCATAGACGAAGACGACGCGCCAATCAAGATGGTGACGACAACATCTCCCGCTACCAGTTCTAGTTTTTGGACTACTGGCGATGAGCACCCTCTTTTTTTGTAGAGAATCACATCTGTGGATGCTGGTTGTAGTTATCTCACCCTCTCCACGCCTAACCTGAAACCCCATACACTTCCCTTCCAAAGGAAGTGGTCCATTCATTGGGTACTGCCCCCCCTCAGTAACAGTTGGATAATAAGTATAATATGGCTATATATAGCCCTTAATAGGACCCCTAATATAGACTGTTACTGGGTGGGGGCAGTACCCAAGTTATAGGGTTCAGGGGTTCCTATGGGACGCATCAAAGGTGTTATAT